GCAGTAAGAGCTGTTTGTCTTTCAGGTATACTGGATTTCATGTTGTCCATAAGTATGTATATATTCATGTGTCAATGGTAAGTGGAATCATCATTGCAAAAATTTTGTGTGTGTTTTTGTGATTCAACTGCAGAGTAGGATCTCTCTCTGCTGTGGTAAGCAGGCCAGGGTGCAGTGAATTGGACAATTTTTAGACCACCTTTTCTAGCTCTTCCTCAATCCTGGAGATGAGCAGAGTGGTCCTTAAAAAAGGCTGCTAAGATGGTCGATGGGGATGGGGGGGTGGGGGCTGCTGAATCCCACTGCTACTTTAATCCAGTGAGAAGACGACCCTATGGCCTGGGCAGCTTTGTGACTACAGTTCCCAGTGTATCTGCATCTGCTACTTTGTCACTAGCCCATTGCCACAGGACTTTGAGGTATGTAAAATAGTCAGAGAATGAAATAATAACATGATAAAAAATGGTAAAATGGTTGAATAGTAAAATAATAAGATGATAAAATGGTAAGATTATTGAATAGTAAAAAATTAAATAATGAAATAATAAAATGCTATGGGTGATGACTGGAATATTGCAATGGTTGACAACTCTGATCCAAGCAATGACAATTATTACTTGAAAGCAGAGGTGTCAATGTAGCAACCAGAAGAGTTCAGTGAAAGTCCCTTTGTCCAAACTAGATTAAAATGTATTTGGAAAATATTTAACAAAAGAAATAAAAATACAATGCAACATAAATAATGCTAATGTGTGATTTTCTAAGTCAATATGTGGCTGCAGGTTTCTATTTTAGTTTTGACACCACTGTTTTCAAGGATTGTTGATGAAGCCTGCTCACCACTTCTTGGCAGAGAAGTGATGGCTTGTACCTCTCTATTCATAAACTGCCTCTGCAGGATAGAATGGAAGCTCCTCAAGGGTGAAGACTGCTTCCTTTTTGTATTTGGATCCCTGGCGCCTAGCACTGGTAGGCACTTGAGAAATACTTGTGGATTAATTGATAGTTTCAGACTGTCCAAGGTGCTGATTTGCTTTGTTGACTGTCCTTTATGCTGCAAGCAAGGGCTGAGGAGAGAATGGGTTATGGTGCAGTGATAAAGACCTTGTCATTGTTCAGTTGTTTCAGTCCTGCCCAACTCTGTGTGACCCCATCTGGGATTTTCTTGGCAGAGATACTGGAGTGGTTTGCCATTTCCTTCTGCAGTTCATTTTACAGATGAGAAAACTAAGGGAAATAGGGTTAAGTGACTCACACAGCTAGTAAGTGTCTGAGGCCGGATTTGAACTCACAAAGATAAGTGTTCCTGACTCCAGGCCTGGCATTCTATCCACTGTGCCACCTACATGCCCTGGTGATAGAGACACAAAGGAAATGAAAGAGCACCAACACATTACCAAAATACAGAGAATAAAACAAAGAGAAATTCAGAAGGGGAGCAAACAGGGAAATCTTGCTTTGTTAAATTTAATATACATGGGAAAACAAATTGTGAATCACAGAAGCTCATGATTTTATATACAATCTTTTTTGTAGTTCTTTTTTGAAATGTTTGTTGATGAATGCTAATTTCATAATTTAAAAAACTCATAATATTTAAAATCCATCTAGAACTTCTCTCAATAATTAAGAAAAGTAACCCCAAATACACTTTGCCGAGAGCTAGGAAAAAGGTACAAAAAAAACAAACCAGAAAATTGTTAGTTCCAAACCCCTACCAATAACAGCAGCTGACATTTACATAGTTTTGCAAAACACTTCATATTCGTTTGGTCATCTGCTCTACTCCTGTCTCTCTTGGTAGGCTCTACCCCTTCTTTTACTGTTTTGAAGTGCCCCCTCTCCCCACCCCCCTTCATCTTCATTTTCAATCTAGGATGCCAGTTGTCTTTACTTATGTTTTGCCACTGGACTGTGATGACTCTGAAGGAGATAGTGAGGCTGATGACTTTGCACAGCTCTGCCTCACTTAAATCCAATTCACTCACAAATACTCTTATGTCATTGCTCCTCTTCAAGAGCCAAGGATGAACAACAACAGGAAGGCAGCAGGCTGATTTGAATTTTCTCTTTCTCTCTCTGTATTCAAAAGTGGAAAAGGGGCATGAGGGAGAGAGATTTCTCTAGCTCTTTACCTCATTCTCCGGAGAATTCACTTCTAGTCACCCAAATGGACACTTGGGAGCTTTGTATTTTAACCTTATCATGTGAATGGTCCAAAGGTCAGAGTGGAAGTTGAACCATCTTAGAGAGCAATCTAAAATTATGCCCAAAGAGTTATTAAACTACCTATACTAGAGATGAGGAACCTGTGGCCTCAAGGCCACATGTGGCCCTCTAGGTCCTCGAGTGTGGCCCTTTGACTGAATCCAGACTTCACGAAATAAATCCCCTTAAAGGATTTGTTCTGTAAAACTTAGATTTGGTCAAAAAGCTGTATCCAAGGACCTCGAAGGACACATGTGGCCTCAGGGCCAAAGGTTCCCCACACCTGGCCTGTACCCTTTGACCCAGCAATACCTCACTATTTGAGTTGGATGGTCCCCCATGCATATATCATCCAAATAAAATATGGCACATTTTTTTCATCCTTCTCCAGGGGTGATAGCCTAGTCTTTGCACAGAAGCAGTGGCATTTTTTAGTCCACAGGAAAGAACAGTACTCCATGCTGGCCTGAGAGGGTGATTAATGGAGCCATAGAGACCCAGAAAGGACTTTATATATTATCTGAGCTAACCAACTCATTTAACAGATGAGCAAAACTGAGACCCAGAGATGATAAGTAACTTGCCTAAGGTCACACAGGTAGCAAAACCAGGGCTTGAACCCAGGTTTTGTGGTGCCAGGTGATCTCAGGGGGTTAGCTCAACTGCCAATAACATTCACTTAGATTTAAAGGTGAAATATCTTTAAACAGAGTCTAGAGTGTCCATAAAAGATCATCTGTTGGCACATGGCATAGTGAGGGCATTTAACTTCCTATAGTTCTCATATACTTGGGCGGAGAGGCAATGCCATACGGTGGTAAGAGCAGTGCCTTTGGAATCAGAAGACATGGATTCAAATCTTGCCTTTGTCGATTACTACCTGTATGATCTTAGACAAGTCACTTCTCTAGGCCTCAGTTTCTTTACCTGGGAAACAAGGGCATTGGACTAGATATCCTCTAAAGTCTCTAAAGCCTCTGAATCTGTGATCTTCACTTCTTCCTCATGGGGAGAGATACAGGGGCTTTTGGAGAAGGTAATTCCTTCTAAGTCCTACATTTCCTTCTCTACTGTTTCAGGACCCTTTGTGTAAGAAGGGGAAAGGTATTGATTGAGGAGTGAGCTTCCATCTCTATGTCATGCATGACAGAATTTCTCCTGAAATACAGGTTCAAATTCTCTTAGAAGGCCACTGCTTTCAGTGTTACTAGTTGGAATCAGTCCCCTGAGCTTGACCCCTAATCTAGTGAGTTGGAGAAACCAGGATAAGATGCTGCCAGGTGGGTGCTCCTACCCCTTTCCCTTATAATAGGGACTTTCATTTCTTTCTTTTTTAAAATATACTTTAACATTCATTTTTAAAAAATTTGAGTTCTAAATTCTTTCCCTCCCACTAGCCCCTCCCCCACCCATTGAGAAGATAAGAAATATGATTTCAATTCTACACATGAAATCATGAAAAACATTTCCATATTAGCCTTGTTGCAAAAAAAGCAAGAAAAATAAAGAGGTGAAAAAAAGTGCTTCAATTTGCACATAAAGTTCATCAATTCTCTCTCTTAATGTAGATAGCATTTTTCATCCTGAGTCCTTGAATCATTGACTTTATCAGAGTAAGTCTCTCACAGTTGATCATTGCTGCAATATTGATGTTACTATGTAAAATGTTCTCCTATTTCTGCTCACTTCACTTTATATCAGTTCACTAAGTCTTTCCAGGTTTTTCTGAAACCATCCTGCTTATCATTTCTTACATCACAATAGTATTCCATCACAATCACATACCACAACTTATTTATCCATTCCCTAATTGATGGGCACTTCCTCAATTTCCAATTCTTTGCTACCACTAAAGGAGCTATTATAAATATTTTTGTGCACAGAGGTCCTTTTCCTTTTTCTCTGTTCTCTTTGGGACACAGCTCTGGTAGTGCTATTGCTGGGTCAAAAGATATGCACAGTTTTTAAAAATGTAAATAATATTTAATTTTTTTCCAATTACAGATAAAGACAATTTTCAACATTCATTTTTATAGTATTTTGAGTCCCAATTTTTTCCCCTTCCCCAAGATGGCAAGCAATCTGATATATATTATACATGTGCAATCATGTAAAAGATATTTCCACATTAGTCATGTTGTGAAAGAAGAAACAGAACAAAAGGGAAAAAAAAACCATGAAAAAAAACCCAGAGAAAGTTAAAATAGTATGCTTTGATTTGCATTCAGACTTCATCAAGTCTTACTCCAAATGTGGATAGCATTTTCCATCATAAGCCTTCTGGAATTCTCTTGGATCATTGTATTGCTGTGAAGAACTAAGCCATTCACAATTGATAATTGTGCAACGTTTCTGTTACTGTACAGTATTCTCTTGGTTCTGCTCACTTGACTTTGGATCAGTTCATGTAAGTCTTTCCAGCTTCTCTTAAACTATCCTGCTTATCGTTTCTTACATCACAATAGTATTTCATCACAATCATATACTACAACTTGTTTATCCATTCCCCAATTGATGGACAGCTCCTCAATTTCCAATTCTTTGCCATTGCTAAAAGAGCTGCTATAAATATTTTTGTACATATAGGTCCTTTCCCTTTTTCTTTGATCTCTTTGGGATACAAACTTGGTAGTGGTTTGGCTGGGTCAAAGGATATACACAGTTTTATAGCTCTTTGGGCATAGTTCTAAATTGCTCTCTAGAATGTTTGGACCATTCACAGCTCCACCAATAGTGCATTACTGTCCCTATTTTTCCACATTCCCTCCAGCATTTGTCATTTTCCTTTTCTGTCGTATTAGCCAATCTGATAGGTGTGAGGCAATATCTCAGAATTGTTTTGTTAACTGGCTACCATGGCATCAGGAAAGCACATAGGGAAGGCTTTACAGTCTCTTCAGGGTCAGAGACCATCTTCCAAGGCTGCCTGTGTGATCCCACAGCCAGCCATTGGATCCACAGAGCTTTGAGGGCTGGGCTTGGGGCTTCTTTCAGATCCTAGCAGCAACCTGCGGAGACAAAGTTTCTTGAGACAAGGTTGGTGGCTGAGTGTAGGGATTGCTGGCTTTGTGGTTTGTGCTCCTAAGCTGCCTGAAGACCTTCAGGGAAACGATTGACACTTTAAACCTCACTTTCAGTTCTTCTGGGACCCCTTTGTTGGGGTCCTGTGTTCAGTGGCCTGAAACTGAAGTGACAACCCCGGGGAAGGGCTGTTAGTGGCCTTACATGGTACCACTGTCTGCCTACCTGGCAGCAGCACACCTACAGGGCAGGCCCAGAGGCCAGGTTGATCTCACTAGCCCCTGAATTATTGCTTCTTCAGTTGGGGTCTATGGACCCCCAAGGGCTCTGTGGAGGGTTTTCAGAGGACACCATGAACTTGGATGGGAAAAAAATTACTTCTTTATTTTCACTAACCACTAACTGAAATTTACATAAGAGCAGGTAGAGAGGCGGAGGGGCTGGAGAGAACAGCAGGAAAGGGCAGGACTGGAGTAGTGACCGAGAAAAGGAGCATTATGGTCTTTCATCCTTTGCACCCCTCCTTGGAACTAACAACAAGGGAGGGAAGGAAGTCTACCTTGAATCAGAGTTACTCATCTCCATGAGGTTCCAGGCTTTTGTCTGAGAAAGCAGAGAATGAAAGATGGGGGATGCATGAGTGGGGAGGGGTGAAGGAAGACAGAGAAGGAAAATGAGAGTTGAAAAAGAGAGGGAGAAGGGAAGGAGGGGAAGAGACAGAGGGAATGGGTAGAGAGGCACAAGGGAAGGAAGAAGGAAGGGAAGGAGAGATCAAGGAGTAGTACTGAAGAGGGAGTGAAAGAAGGAGAAAAATATAGAGAGACCTAGAGACAAATGGACAGAGACAGAGAGACAGAGCTTTGACTTTTTTTCTGTCTCCCCATACCTAGCCAAGCTCTAAATAGACCCTTAATCTTTCAAGGGCTCCATCCAACTCGCTATATTCCTAGTGATTTTACTCCCAAGAGTCCCTCCCTTCCCCTATATAATTAGAAAAACTGTCCCTTTGTTCCTTGTATCTAAGTGGGAAATTTATTGGTACTGGTGGCACATTTCCGGGGGACGTTGTCCTCCACCCTTCTATGAGACTTATCTTCTTCCTCTACATGTTCACCTAGGACTGTCCCTGGGTGAATTTTGTACTTACTTTGTATCCTGACCCCAGGAGAGCCTCATCTCTCTCTCTTTGCAAAGTCAGATCCTCACCAACCTCACACCTTGCCCCAAGTGTAAATGAATATTGCCAATTCCAGCTCAAATTGCTTCCCTTCCTTGCTCTCCTCACCCTCTTCCCTCCCTCTTGCCCCACATCCCACTCAAAGTGAACTCCAGGACTCCAGTCCCTCCACAGCTTTCTGTTGGATACAAGCAGGCCAGTCCCTGTGTGCACAGCTGTGAGTATCTGAAATTACCTTTGATTTTGGCAGCAGCACAGTCCTTTGAACAGGGTAAAAAGTGTTGTGGTCATTCTCCAGGGCAGGAAAAGTGAGATCAGAAAGGTCACCCAGTCCATCCAGTCTAGCTCATCAGACTCTTCCTTGTGAGAATACCCTGCATAACAGCTGGGACCCATCAGCTGCAGCTTGGTCAGGGTAAGCCCTTGGACTTTCCTGTCCAGCAGCCCTAAAACTAGGTGGGCCAGGGCTATATAGATTTCTGTCCTCCCCCACCAGTGACCTGAGGTCTCCCAGGCCCCCATCCAGCTTCCCCTCTGGAGCTCTGGCACTGCCTGACACCCTGTGCTCTCTAAGAGTCCATCCATACTCATCCCCCTTGATCCCATCTCTAAGGAAGACTTCAGACAAGTGGTGGGCCCACAATGGAGGTTTGGACAGGTACTCAGAGACCAGGGCTGCAGGGGAGCTCAGGGGCTAGGGGGCAGGGGATTAAGCTTTAATACCATTTCATAATTTAAACCCATTCCTGCACCCATCCTTTCTTACCTTGGCATCGTAGCAGGATCCACAGGAAATACATGGCAATTCCAATTTCAAATGCCCAAGACACAACTAGGATACCACTTATTTCCCACAGCCAGGGACTGTTCCGTATAAGATATTCTGAAAGAATCCCTCAGTCTCAGTACAAGATTGTGACCCTTGGGTCCCTCTGCACACAGTCCCACAACCCCTACGAAATACTGGGACATTCCTAGATGAAGAAAGGTGATCCTGAAGTGGAAATGAGATCCATGATGTCCTTCTGATGTGTAGGGGAATGTTCACTAAGTCTCTGGTCCCCTAAATAGTTACCCTAAGTTCCTGTGTGCATCAGAGTCTTTCTTACTGAAGAAGCAAGAAGGATGAGAGAATTCCAAGATAGAGAGTTTCTGGAGCACTAGCAGTAGGGCACAATGGAAGGCTTGAGACTGAGCAAGGCTGGCCCTGAGGACAAAATGCTCCTGTGAGGAAACCAGGCAAACAGGAGGGAGCAAGCTGAGTGTCCCTTGTAGTCTACTGTGCTGGAGAGAGGCTGTGAGACCTATGGCATAGCTGTGACTTTTCCACTTGTCATTGGTCTTCCCAATGTAAGAGAGGGATTGATTGATAACGATGCCCAACGAATCAATTCAATCAAACTACATTAGACTGTGAAAGTCTGGGAAAGATAACTGATAAAGTAAAATGACACTAGACAGGCATTCTATTCCCACTGAATAAAGGATTTCATCATGTCCCCTGGGTCCTGTGTAAAAGTTAGCTGGAGTCAGGGAATCGCAGACATTGGAGCAAATATGGATTTCCAACAAAAGCCCTATGAGGAAGGGGACATCTTATTCTCAGTCATGGCCAAGTCTCTTTCACACACCCTGTCTTACTCCTCCCTTTGGTCAGGCTAGAGATGCACTGTAGTGTCAATCACATTAGAGACACCAATGAGGCCTGATGGAGCCCAGCTGGAGAAGGTGCAGATACCCTGGTAGGGTGCTGAGCACAGAATCTAAGAGTGGGACTGGGAATGTGGAATGGCTGTCCTTGGGTGAAGAGAGGGATGTTACTCAGGTTTCAAGGGCATACTTAGTTGCTGACTGAGGAGCAGACTGGGGAAGTCCTTCAGATTTTTACCAGGGTCATGGAGTGGTTTGAAGTAGAGTACTGTTTTTGTGATTCCGATTTCATATAGTAAATGCATTTTAACCTGCAAACCTTCCTTTTTGGTCACAATAAGTTATAAAGTAAATAAAAATCATAATGCAAAATGGGGACAAACTCTGCTTGGATGTTTTCCTTGAACTTAAACTTGGGGTTGGGGTGGTGGAAATGAATCAATTTGGGATTAAATAAATGAAATATGACACAAAATCACTTTGCATTTTAAATCCTAGATCAATGTGAAAAGAATGTAAGTCCAAATTGTTGGCAGCTGTTTCTGCATATGGCAGCTGGATAGCACAGTGGATAGAGTCCTGGGCTTGGTATCAGGAAGACTCATCTTCATGAATTCAAATCCAGGCCAGACATTTACTAGCTGTGTGATTCTGGGTAAGTCACTTAACCTTGTTTGCCTTGATTCCTCATCTGTAAAATGAGCTGGAGAAGAAAATGGCAAACCACTCCAGCAACTTTGCCAAGAAAATTCCAAATGGGGTCATGAGGAGTTGGACATGACTAACACAACAGCTTCTGCATATAGAAAAACATCCTGAACCACCAGCATTGATGATAAGAACTTACTTGTAGAAGGCATCTTCAGGGCTTTGTGTTGATTCTTGGGTAGGAGGATTCCTACAGCCAATTACTTAGGGGTCCCAGGAGGAGAGAGCATAGGAATAAATGGAGTCTTCCTTCCAGCTGACCAGAGTATGTGATGTCATAAGGTTATAGGTTTGTATAGGAGAAGCAAGGGTACCTAAGATTGGGCATTTTGAGAATCACCCTTTTTAAGGTTTTGGCTACAGGAATACTGGGGGCAGTGCATTGCAGTAAGTGCCAGATCCTAGCAAAGGTCAGGCTCCCAGGACACTCAGGGTTCTAGAAGACTTGTGCTGTCTTTGCCCAGAACAGTATGATGAGTCAGAAAAATGCCCTTACCCTGGTTTCTCTTCATAATTACCTTGGTGTCGCAGGATGAACCATGTGAAAAAGCCTAATGTCAGCACCCAGAAGGCAGCTATGTATGCAATGAAGAGCACCATCCAGAAAACCAAGACTGTCTTTGCTTCTTCGCCTAACATACAGCCCCCACCAAAGCACATCAGTGCCCTCAATCCCCTGTGGTCCAGAACTAGGGTTTGGGATGAGGAACCTTGCAGCCTCTTCACTCTCCCACATGCCACTACCTTTCTTCCAGAAAGCACATGATTCCCTTGGCTTAGCAACATCCCTGATGAAGTCAGTTTTATTTAGGGAGAGGTGTTTATATCTGGCCAAGTGTAAAGGAAGAGCAGATTTATGTCATGATGGGCTCATGAGTAACTGTAGCTAGAATATCTAGGAAGTCAAGGAACATCCCATAAGGGACTGCATCAATTTCTTTTCAATTAATATTTCTGAATTTATATATTTCCTTTTCTTTCCTCAGCAATACTAGAAGATCCACTCTTATCATCTGAAGAGTGAGAAGAAAATAAATAGGAAGGAAAGAAGGGGATTATAATAGACAAGGGTAACCAGTTATGAGTGCTGGCAGCAGTGGCCAAAGAAGGGATATAGTGAGGCTGATCTCAGGATCCAGAGCATCAAGCAGGATGGGGGCCATTTATATGCATGAGCCTTGGTACCTTGAACTGTGATTAAGTTATCAAGGAAGGTGAACAAAGCAGTGAAAGGTGAAATCTCTATGGTCCAAGGCCAAGGTCTTCTGGATCAGTCCCAAGAAGGTGCTGGCCTATCATTCATCCCACATTTCTCCATCTTGTCCCTGGGGGCATCCTGAGAAACCTTGTCAACTATTTTGATTAAATCTGCATATATTATGTTTATGGCTATTTCTCAAACTATTTTCTTTGAAAATACTCTCGTTATAGCTATTCTTAGCAGTAGAATGATCCAAGACAACACTGAAGGACTTATGATGAAAAATGCTATCTATCTCCAGAGAAAGAACTGGCAGGATCTGAATACAGATTGAAGCATACTTGGGTTTTTATTTTGGTCTATTTTTTCTTTTATAACATGACTAATATGGAAATATATTTTGCACATGTATAACCTATATCAAATTGCTTACCTTCTCAATAAGGGGGCTACGGAGAGAGGGAGGGAATTTGGAACTCAATTTTAAAAATGAATTTTATAAATTGTTTTTATATGTAATTGGGGAAAAATATAATACTAAATTAAAAAAAGAAAAAACTTTAGTGACCTGTAGGTCTGATCACTTTAGTTAGTAAATACTTAATAATAAGTTAATTACAGAAAATTACTTCAATGTAATCAATATTTCCCCTCTAATTATTAACTATGAAATAATGCATAAGTTACATACTTATTATGTAAGAAAAAAGTCTCACTTTACAAACTGGATTAATTTCTCTTAATTTTACCAACCCATGCCCCAAGTACTCCAGTATCAGCATTTCTGGCTTCAGTCCAAATACTTTAAAAGTACCTTAAAGCCTAATATGTTCCCTGTTCAGAAAAGTTTGGGAAGTACTGGTTTCCTACACCCCTTACATGCAACAGCATGTGAATGAAACTGTCTATGCTGGCCTTCTGTGGGCTGGGGAAGAGGGTGATCAGGGGAATGTAGGTAAGAAATTGGCCAGGAAAAAGTGAAGTTCAACCTTTTACAACCCTTCCTTTCCCCTTCACCTGCTTGTCCTCTAATTCTTTTCATTTTCTTGATTCTTACTCTTTTCTCCCAGGAACCTACCCTCTGGAGACTATTACTCCTCCTGATTTCTGTGGTTCCAGGCCCTCAACAATGACTTTTTTTCCACCATAGTCCCATGTGGGTTACCTTCACTCCCCCTCTTCCACATTCATTTTTCTTTATGTGTTGTCTTCCTTTATTAGAGTGTAAGCTCTTTGAGAGCAGGGGCTCTTTCTTTTTGCTACTATTTGTAATCTCAGTGCTTAGCACAAGGCTTGGCATAGCAAGGGTTTAATAAACTTTTGTTGACTTACAGATCTGACTTTCCTTCCATCATCCATCCCTTCGCAAATTAATTCTCAAATGGATTATCTCTTTGGCAGGAGAATAAGCATCTAGTTGGGAAGAGAGGATACTGTACCCTATCATCCCCATCCATGCCCCAGATTCTCACCTGAGACTTTTAGCATTACATCAGCTTCGTCTTGATTAAAACCATTTTCGAAATGACATTTGTAACTTCCTTCATCCAAGAATCTCATGTCACGTATCTTCAGAGTGACATTCCCACTAGAGATAGAATCTCTCACTAGCTCTGTCCTCCCTTGGTAATTAGGGTCCTGGTCTCCAAATTGATCTTCTCCATCTTGATAGAGATGTACCACCCGAGTGGATTGGAACCAGACCACCCCCATGTGCTCTGCACTTTGTGTTGGGGAGAGGTAACATGGCAACTCTGCAACTTCTCCCACTGAGGCCTGGATGGGTCCTGTAGGTCCAATCACTGAGAACTTCCCTGTTCAATCATTTGGGAAGAAAATATCAGAGCTAGGAGAAGAATACAGTAGAAGCAAGAAGCCAGCTTTATGCTATAGATGGGGGAGAAAGATGGTGTTCTCAAGTGGGATGGGAGGGGGGCAGAGCCAAGATGGCAGAGTGAAAGCAGTAACTTGCTTGAGCTTTCCCCCAAACCCCTCCATGTGGGATGGGAAACAGAGAAAATGAGGAAGGAGGGGGTAGAGGGAGAATGAAAGAAATTCCCATGGAGGGATGAAGGAAGAGAAATAAAAATGGTGAAGATATTGAGAAGTCCCCAGAAGGGAGAGAAAGGGAAACTAGTGAAAACCCCAGGAAATTATGTGAGAAGAGAGAGGTTGAGGTGTCAGGCAATGAGGAAATGGCTTAATGGATAATGATGTAGGCGGGGATAGAATCTCTTCAGCTTCAATTCACCCCTCAATCCATGGAATCCCATTACAAGACACTGGGGAACAAACATTCATACCTGAGGCCAATGTGGGTATCTCAAGGAAGAGAATGGGGACAAGGAAACTGAATAAGTGGCATGAGAGACCGATTAATTCCATCACACCTAGGAGAGGAAAAAAGGAAATATGAGGAGGGGTCAATGACTAGAATGGGAACAAAAGTTAGGGGGTCACAGTGGCATTGGTCATGGTTTCAGGAGCTTATAGGATTTTCAGAAACAAAACTCCATTGGTTATCAGTGGTGGACAGGTATTCAGAGGTTATCTACTCCAATATTTATCCCAATAAGAATCTCCTCTATTACATGCCCTACAGGAAGTTATTCAACTTTTGTGTGAAGTGAGATTCAGTTAGCCGTGTGCTTTAGCAGGGCATGTCAGTTTGGGGCAGCTCTATCCTGAAGAGGTTTGACTTAGGTAACAGAAGTGGCACATGCTCAGAGCATCTTTGAGGCTACTCTACATGTAAGAGGCTAAAGAATGTGACATTAGCAAAGCTGTGATTATCTGTAATGAGGAAGTGCATTGGAGAGACTTGAGAACATGTGTATCCATTTTGTAACTGGTTCTGGCCTGATTGACTCATGGTGGGCAGCAGCCCCTTTGAATGGCTGTGGCTGCTGAACCAGAACTGGAGGTGCATTCAAAAGACCTTAGCCCTTGCTGATATTAGATCTCCAACCCAGCTACTTGACAGGGATTCCAGTCTACTGGAGGTGTTTTCAGGGATAAGTCTACTCTTGGGTCCTCCAGACCCAAATCAGGGTCAAGAGCTTGCAAACCTCAGATCAGGAGGGTAGCAATCAGATTTTATCTTAGATAAGATCACTTAGAGTTCACTGAAAGTTTGCTGATCACCAGCCTGAGCATCTTCTGAGATCTTTGAAGACCATTGGAATCAGTATTCAGAGAAAGCAGTATCAGGAACACAGAAAATATAAACTATGATCAAATAAATCCCTCACTCCCCAGAAATGAGCAGAGCTTTGGGCTAGCACAAATGATTAAGTGAGGGGAAAAAAGCTTGAAGAATGAGTAGACAAGATTCCCACAATGATGAGTTATTGTGGAGAGAGGGATAGTTAAGACACAAACTCAAAATAGGATGCCTCCAAAACATCCATAAGCAAAGCCTCAAAGTAAAACACAACTTCAAAATAAAGTCAACCAGAATCCTGGAAGAAATGGAAAAAACAGTTTTTTGAAAAGAATTAAAATGATTTTATAAACAAAATGAGGTTTCTAGAGCAAAGAGTTGTAAAAGAAATTTGAGCTTTGGAGGAAAGACTTATTATAAGGACATCTAACAATGTAGTACAAAAGTTGTAGAATCTTAACCAAGTAACAGACTCTTTGAAAATTTGGATGAATCAAACAGAACTTAATGACTACATGAGACAACATGAAGTATTAAAAATCATTCAAAACACTGAAAAAAGAAGAGAATGTAATGTATCTCATATTAAAAAAACTGACCTGGAAAATGCAGCAATGAGAAATAATTTAAGAATCATTGGAATACTTGAAAGCTATGATCAGGAAAATAGTCTGGACATCATATTTTAAGAAGTTATGGAAAGAAAATGACCCAGAATTCATTAGATTAAGAGGGTAAGAGAAGAATAGAAAAAAAAATCTAGTGGTTGTCTCCTGAATGAAAGCCCCAAAAATGAAAACTCCCAGGGATATCATAGCCAAATCCATATAATTCTAAGATATTATTAAGAAAATTCCTTACTGTTCTTGATGAATTAAAATCATAGATAAATTTCATGCTTAGATTCTAAAAGAGCTAGTTGATGTGACTGCTAAGCCACTCTCAGTGACATCTGATAGAACATGGTAAATGGAAGTGTGACCTGTGGCTTGGAAAATAGCAAATGTGTTCCCTGCCTCTGTCCCCCCACTCCTTTTTAAAAAGAGGATGGATCTTTAGACTATAGGCCAATTATCCTAGAATATTGAAGAGATGGTTAGTGAACATTTACAACAAAATAAAGAAGTTTGGTTAGATGGCATGAGTGACAATTGGATCTGGCAAGAGGACAGAGTGAGTGTTCACAATAACTGTCTGATCCTTGCCATGTAGCTTTAGGACTCTTAGTTCTCACTCCCCTAGTCTAGGGATCTTTCTGCATACCCATTAAGTACACCCTCAGTATACTTAATCTGGAGTCATTGGCCCCTCATTCTCTTAAATCCCTTCATTCTCCTGAGTCTTTCAGTCGCTTGGCCATTTTAGATTGTTGAATTCCCTCACTTTTTAAATCCTGATATCCCATAATCCTTTCAGTCTCCTAGCCATGTTCCTAGGGTCCCAAGTATGTCCTGGTGGGGCTCCAGTCTTCTTCTTCTTTTTTTTTTTAGGCAATTGGGGTTAAGGGACTTGCCCAGGGTCACATGGCTAGTGTCAAGTGTTTGGTCTGAGGCCGGATTTGAACTCAGGTCCTCCTGACTTTGGGGCTGCTGCTCTATCCACTGCGACACCTAGCTGCCCCTCCAGTCTTCTTAGGGTAGGGTTTGTAGACTAGTTTCATTCTGTGAGAATCTGAATCTCAAAGTTTCATTTTGAGTCTCACTATAAAAAGAGAATTTGAAAGCTGGGCTTCTTCTTTCCCTGTTATATCTTATCTTTCCTTTTGCTTCCCACCATCCACAATACCTAGATCCCATGGACAGCCTAGCCCAGACCCTGGCACATAGTAGGTGCTTCAAAAATGCTTCTTTCTTTCTTGTCATGGGAAATCCTAGACAAGGGCCTCAGATGCTCTGGTTGCCTCCCTCTGGTTTTGCTCGTGGAGCATTCCTAGAACTGTGGAGTCTTACAGCTTGAAAGTCTCTTTGGAGATCATGTAGTCCAATCACTCAACCCTCTGTTGGACCCCCATTGCTGTCACACAAATTTTCCAAGAGGGAATTTGAGGCCCAAAGAGGAAAAGTTACTCACTAGAGGTACCTCATCCAGGCAAAGGCACCTCTGTGACTGGAAGTCATGGGTGTCTTGAGTCCCAGCACTGGGCTGCTTGCTCCCCACTACACAAATGCCTGGCTTGGAGCCTGGGGAAGCCATATAGAGTGGGCCAAATTCCTTTGTGCTCCATCCTAACATGAACTCAGTGTGTGTGTGTGTGTGTGTGTGTGTGTGTGTGTGTGTATGTGCTGCATGTATATGAGAGGAAATCATGTATAAAAGAGGCCAGGGAGATAGCTTGAGAAACACAGGTGCCTATTGTATAGGGAGAAGAACAGGAGGCAGGCAGGAGAAGCTTATGTGAGCAAGGCTGGGGAAGGGGCCATGAGCCTGGGAAACGTGACAAGAAGGATGTGGCTCACATTGTCAGCAGCCCAGATTCAACATGGGTGAAGGAGGAAGCTCAAGACCCTTCTTAAAGGAGAAGTGAGACAGAGGGGAGAAGTAGAGCAGTTCCCCTGCAAATCAGCATTGGGTGCAGTCTCTAGAAGATGGTCTTTGGTATATTGGGCTCCTTTTCTAACATGAAATGAATTGTTGGGCTGCATCAGTGGGAGTAATTTTCAAATTACAAATTCCCTAAACCTATGAAACAAGCAACAACAAAAGGTTTTCTGAGAGGCAGCTATGAATTAGTGACTAGGGAATAAGAACCTGCCTTGGATTCAGAAAGACAAGAATTGAAGTCCTATCTCTGAACCATACTAGGTGTGTAACAATTAGCAAGATGTTCTCTTTGTACCCAAGTAAACTCACTCAGATTAAATGGCTGACCTGCATAGGCAGAGAGAATTTTCATATTAGAGGTTCCCTATGCTGTTTGACTAATAGGTCAGGATACCTTCCACCACCCCAAAGTTCTCCCTAGCAAAGCACAAGGGGGCCATGGTCTCTGGGCAAGTGGCCTCCCTCAGAGTTGCCATTGTTTATATCCCTCTGAGTCTAAGGCAGTGAACAATCTGGAATCTAGACAATATGGTTCCCCAGAGTAACAGTCTGTGACAAAGGGATTCCTAGGATCAGCTGCTTATTGCAGCATCAAAGTTCAAGTCTCCAAGCACACACTGAATGTCAACTACATAAAAGGCCTTCTACTCAGCAACAGGGGAGATAGAAAAGAAGATACCTCCCAGTGCCTACCTCTGCTTTTCAATATTATTTATAAAGGCAGTTTGTGACACAGTGGCTATAGTGTTGGACCAGCAATGAAGAAGGAAAACTTGAGGGCTTTTTTTTTTTTTTGCTTTTTGGTAGGGCAATGGGGGTTAAGTGACTTGCCTGTAGTCACACAGATAGTAAGTGTTGTGTCTGAAGCTGGATTTGAACTCAGGTCCTCCTGACTCCAAGGCAGGAGCTCTATCTACTGTGCCACCTAACTGCCCTCAAGACTTGAATTTGAATCTTGCCTCAGACATTAGTTGGGTGACCCTAGGAAAGTCACTTAACCTCTCTCAGCCTCAGTTTCCTTATCTATAAAATGGCCATAAGTAATGGCACCTACTTCATAGGGTCCTTTTGAGAATCAAATGGGATAATATACATAAAGTTCTTTGAAAACCTTAAACGCTATATGAATACTAGCCATTATTTTTGTTATTGTTATTGTCTGAGCCACTGCTGTGAAATGAGGCTGAAATGATGGTGGTTTGGGAAAGGGTAAGGTGCAGAGTGCAGGGGAGACATTAAATTATTGATATCTTTGTGGAAGAATTTGTATTTTATATTATAGTCCAATGAGAAGTCAATGAATGTTGCTGAGGAGAAGCCTAGTCTGATCAGTGCTATGTTTTTAGAACATTAATCTAGCAGCCTGGATAGCAGGGAGGAATAAGGATTCCATCCATTCCAGAAGCCTATGCCCTGATTCCCAGAGCCATGGTCTGAGTGAGTCAGACCCACACCTGCTTGCTGAGTCATTTGGGAACCTTGGATGCCGGTATCTAATTCTTGATGGAGAGAGTAGACATAGCCATTAGAGCAATACTTCTCTCCTCAGCTTCCATGGAAAGGGAGAGGTTAAAACAAATAGCAGGGAACAGAGAGAAGAAAGAAGATGGTAAGACTGATAGGACAACTGGTAGGACAGAAGGGATCTGGGACTCTCAGGGAGTAAGTAGATAGGGTCCCACCAACAATCAATCAGCAAACATTCACTAAAAACCCACTGTGAACTGTGATGATGTAAAAAAACAGAAGACACCAACAAAATGTATTTTTAAAAAGCCTTCTGAACGCCAGGCACTGGAGATGAAAAAAAATAAACAAACAAAATGGGAGACAATCCTTACTCTTGGGGAGCTTATATTCTAAAAGGGTAGACTTGGGCACAGGCTGAGGGGAGGCTAGAAAAGACTGTCTTGCTGGGCAAGCAGCAGCATTTGAGTGATCCTAGTTAAGGTGGCATCTTTGCCCATCGTGAACAGCGCATTTAACTCCCCTGCTCCATTCTACCATGTTGATCCAGACAACTGCATCACTCCAGCCTACCTCATCCATTCTATCTCATTTACTCCATGCTTACCCACCATGCTCTGCACCCTCCACCTAATCTGTTCCAGCCTGTCCCCTCCACCATAGGTACTCCACCTCAAGCAGTCCACCCTGCCTACTGTACCTTACGCAATCTGAGAATGTCAAAGTACCTTGAGGTCATGTAGTCTAACCTGTCCCATGACAGAAGTCCTCTCAACAACATTCTGGACAAGTAGTCATCCAGCTCTTCAATGAAGACCCTTGAGGAGGAGGAACTGGCCACTTTTCAAGTCAGTCCATTCCACACTGGGGCAGCTCGAACTGTTAGGAAGTTGTTTTCTTGATGTCAGACCTAAATTGACCTTTTGCAACCTCTTCCCATAGCTTCTAGCTCTGTCCATGTGCAGAGCATCTTACAAGAGGATAAGATAGGACACAGAGGGAATACGACACCCCATGTCACATGATTAGTGTATTAAGAGGGTTTTAAGACAATGCTTCTTTAAGAAGTTCGATGGAGGAAGGCTACTGTTAATTGGGGGTAAATACTACTGCTACTGTTAAGAAGAGGTGATTTGGTGGAGTTAAAGGCAGTTATTATATTCCCATCACCCAAATATTTCTTTTTGAGGCTAAACTTCCATAGTTCCTTCAGTCATCTCAAACTCAGCGTGTCCAATACAGAATTCGTTGTCTTCTCCTTCTCTTTTCCATAGGTCCCCCAGGTCCAGTTACTGAGAAGTGCCCTGTTCAATCAGGCAGAAGAGGGGATGGGATCAGAGAGGAGCCCAGCAGAGGGTGGGAGGGCCCTGATTTCACAATCCAGCCTCACAGAATAGAATAGTTGGAAGAGCCTTCAGTGGCTGCCTAGTTCAACCCATTCTGGAAAAAGAATGCTTTAACATACCCAACAAATGAACATTCTTATTCTGATTGAAAGCCTTCCAGGAGACAAGATCCACCATCTGCTGAGGGAGACCATTTCACTTTGGGTCAGCCCTAGTTATGAGGAAGGTTTTCCTGACATCAAGCCTAACCTTGCCTCTTGGCAACTTCTAGCTATTATTCTTGGCTTATACATCTGAAACAGTTGGTGAATTAGTTGCTGTGAATCAAGGCAACTATGCATTACTCTCTTCAGACAAAGCTCATTTTCTCTTCTCCTTAGAACTGTTTCCTGCTAAAGACTGTGTCTTTAAACTATTCCTGAATTTCCTTTCTACTATCAGAAATAGTGAGAGGGAGTGGTACTACCCTTCGAAGTTTCTATTATTTCTACCCCAGAAAGCTTTTCTTTCTTATGAATGAGAATCTGATGTGGAAGAGACTTCCCTTTGGTTTTTCCTCCTTTTGAAGAGTAAACTTCTCATTAATACAAGTCAGGAACTTGTCAGCTGCTCTGCTCTTAGGTAGAGATGGAGAGGAAGGCAGAACCCTGAAATGGTAGGGGGAGGGGAGAAGAAGAGAGGATGACAAGGCAGAGAAGAGAGGAGGAAAGGGAAATGGGAAGGGAAAGAATTAGGGGAGATCATGAGTTGAAGTAAAGTAGGAAACATGATGAGGCCATTGCAGGAAGAGCTTAGGAGAGTATCAGAGAATGGTTTGGAGTAAAATGAAGAGTGGAGAAATAGAGCATTTCTGTAACCTCATTCTTCAGCCTTCAGGATCCATTTCTTAGGCTCTCAGACATGACTAAAAGCAAACCTTGGCAACTATAGTTTATGTGGCATCTCAAGGAATGAGGAAGTAATGAGGACACTGAAGAGAAAACAGCCCAAGGGACATCTCTATCACTCTTAGGAGAGGACACAAGGGAGGAGTAGGAGGAACAGTATTAATATGTGGAGGAGGAGGAAGAAAAGGAGGAAGAAAAGGAGCAAAAGGAGAAAGAGGAAAAGGAGTACGAGGGGAAGGACAATTGAGTAGGAGGATTAAGCCTGTGTCAGCGACAAAAGCATGGGAAAGTAAATGATTATGACATGAGGAAATAGGCAGTGTTGATGTCTGACAGGGACACAAGAGGTCAGTGACTATACAGGGATGCAGAGCCAATGTCTTGGACAAAGATCAGGGTGTGTCTGACTGAGGAGGTCTATGAGGAACTGACCCCTGTGAGGATGGGCTCAATACTTACCCTGTGTTGATTCCAAAGGCAACCTCTGCGCTGGAAGGAGTGGTCCGGGGCCAGGTTAGGGGTGCCTTCCCCAAATTCAGAGAGGCTCAGCAGTGCCAGGACACATTTTGTGTGGATGACTGGGGCTTCTGCTGTCTGGGGCAGATCTCTGGATCACTTGTTCGGTCTGTCAGTCTCTATGATACCTTGGGGGTGGGGTGAGGGGAGGAAGATGCCCTCTGTGGGGATATCTCCTTGTCAGAGGAGGAGAGGGGAAGGCTCTGTTGCCTTAGCTCTCCTTTGTGACTGAGTCTGAAGGGCACATCATGAGGGGTATCTCAAACCCAGAAACAGAAAGGAAAAGTGAGACAAGGGAAGGGGGAGGATCCTTCATGGGTGCCTGCTCTGAACTCTGGGCCGAAGTCCATCCCCACTCACTCCAGCCCACCCAAGCTCCCTTTCTCTTTTCCCCTTCCAGCCTTTATTTTTCTGGTCCCTCGGAGCTCTCATGTGTCTCTGCATAGGAACAGAATCTGCCTAAGTAGCCATTCCTCTCCAGTAGTCTCTATGGGCCTGCGGGACAGGGCTTTGGGTGAGGCAACCTTGCTTTCTACCTGTGTAGCTGTGTAGCTGCTTCCTGCCCCAGCTCATCTGGACCCTATTCTGGACCTACCTTTTCCCTTTCTCCCAGCCACCCAGCTCTGGCCAGATGGTCTGGATCCAGCTATAGTCCCATCTTCAAATCTAGACTCAAATCCAGCCCAAGCTCAACCCATGTCCAGGTTCCGGTTTCAGCCCCAGATCCAATTCCAGTTCTTCTTTTGATCCCGTTCCTTCCTCCCCCAAAAGAGGGAGGAAAGGGGAAGTGTTGTAAACTTCGTTCTTCATGGAAGGTGTTTGTAGAGCAGGGTTATGTGATGACTTCAGGCAGAGGTCGTGGAGAGGTTGGAGTTAGAGCTTATCTGTAATAAATGCAAGACATCTTCCACATGCAGGGGGGCAGTTAGAGCTAGGACTCAACCCTTGATTCCCCCTCCCCCCTTTTTTCCCAGATTGAGTCTCTTACTATATTTAGCCTTGGAATTTTGTTGGTGATTTTGAATGGAGACTGGTACCTGCATCAGGATTTTCTGTTTTTGTTGTAAGATTGGCTGGATTTTTTTTTAGTTGATTTTATGAAATCTGGTTTGTTTGGGTGATTTTACACCAGTATAATTGTGATAGGTTTTCCCTCCCAATCCCCACTCCCAACAGGATTGGTAATGAATTCTACTATTGTTTTTGCTGCTTCTTAGTTTTCTACATTTTACTTTTGTTATTTTGAATCCAAAGGATGTGTCACCTCCCACCGTGAAAATCACTTTTGTTTGCTTTTCTGGTAGACTTTTTTTTTTTGAGCTCCAGATAACGCCATTTCGTTTCCTATTTGCATATTGGAGTTGTTCTTCCTGTGATTATTCCAGGAAAGCCTTGTTTATTCCTATTTAAAAAAAATTAAAGTAGAACTGTATATAAATTTTTTTTCCATACTAGTTTGGTCTCCTGTATGTATGTGTATATATATATATATATATATATATATAATTGATATTACTAAGAAAACATTTATGTGATATATCTAATGCTGAATTATGTTGGCATACTGCTATGTGTTTATAAATAAGTTTTGAAGGTCTGCTGTATGCCAAATAATTTGTTATGTTAGTTCATGAAAAAAGTTACTGATACAGTTTCCATGATTTTGAATCCATGCCTGCTGCTTTGATATTATTTATGTAGAGTGTTGTTTCCATAAAGTAAATTAATTGCATAGAACTTTGCTTGTTGTAATAGAGTACAATTTCCTGCTTGGATTAACATTTTGGGTATAGGTGGTGCGATATATAAAGGATATGAGAGTTGAAACAGTTGCGTGTTTGGTGCCAGGAAATCATAAAGCCCTCCTAATATTAGGGATAGACCTAAATTAAAAGAAAAAAGACATTGTTCCTTTTGAGCTTCATGTCTCCCTCATTTTTTCCACCTTCTTCTCAGAATGCCCCACAAAACAATCCATTCATTTATGTACTCAGGCTCTCATAGTTTCTCTCCAAAACATCCACTGCTGGGAATTCTGGGAATTCTTGCTCTTGCAAAGGAGGGCTAGTTTAGTGATTCTTGAATCTCCTCAGACTGGACACTGCTAGAGAGATGGAAATCAGGTCTGATCTATTTCTTACTCTTTCCCCTCTCCCCTCAGATTCTTGTAAGGAACCCTTCATAGAGAAGAACATAGGAGGTTCCCCATAATGACTTGCTGGTGAGTTGGTTACTCTATCTGTGTGAGTGAGCAACCATATGTAGTCTTATGCCCTGATCATTCCTCACACTGATAGGAGCTCTGGTGTCCCCAGTTTAATGGGCCTGAGAGAATGTTGCTTTTGGTGACTTATTCTTAGGAGAGGATGGCTCCTGGCAAAGAGAGGGCTCAACCCAAGAAGAGGTCTTGATACTCTGCCTGGTTTTAGTACACAGAAAATGAGAGCAGTGTGACTGTCACTAGAAGAACTGAGCTCAGCCCACCTTCTCTCCTTTTTCCAGACTTCCCTATTTCTGTTGCTCCCATATACCCAGACTCACAATCTCAGTCATCCTTGATCTTCTTTTTTTATTCTCTCTCTCTCTCTCTTCCCCCACCTCTGTCACTGTTTCTCTCTGTCTCTCCATCTCTCTCTGTGTTTCTCTCTCTATGTCTCTTTGTATCTGTGTCCATCTCTCTCTGTCTCTGGCTCAGTTTGTGTCCATATCTCTTTTTCTCTGTCTCTCTGTGTATCTGTCTGTGTCTCTCTCCAATCAGTAACAAATCACATTGATTCAGCCTCCACAACATGTCTGACATTTTCTCTTTCCCTACACTTCCATAACCACCACTCTCCTTCAGGCCCTCTCACTCTCTCACCTGGACTGTTGGGATCTCCCTCCTCTGCTTGACTCTGCTTCAAAGCATCCTTTATGCGACTGCTAAAATAACCTTACTAAGGCATATACCTGATTGTGGTACCCTTTTTCTCAAGAACCTTCGGTAGTTCTCTGTTGTATTTAAAATAAAATACAAAGTCCTCCACTGGTACCCACCTCATTCTCCAAGAGTTGAGAATTATAGTTGAGAACTATAATTTGATCTGGTAGGTGCTCTGACTGGGCCTGATTCAAGTCAGTCCCCTGGTAATTTAAGTTCAATAATGAAAAAATGAGACACCTGCAGGTCCTTCAGCAGTTAACAGAAAAGAGATTTGCTTAGCTATAGTGGGAGAAAGATAGTTGACAAAGATAAGTATTGAGGATGTCTCAAACTGATTCAGCTGAGCTAATCTGCCTTTCTTGAGCTGCTTATTAGTCAAGGCTTGGAGCATCCCTGGAAATCCTCCTGGCTGGTTTGTATTTAGGTAACCAGAAAATGACATAAACTTGCTGAGCCTTTAGAAGCCTGAGCTAATCAAGTTATGAGAAATGTCTTAATATCTTTTCAGGAAAAAATGAGCCTAGCATATTGTGGGAGGGGTTAGGGTCTTGCTCCTACAACAGCAGGATTTGCCTAGTGTAGAAACTCCTTCTGCCAGTGCAGTGTATATCAGTCTAGTTACCTGGAACACCGAGATTTTAAGTGATTTGGCCATGGTCATACTAGTATGTGTCAGGCACAGGACTTGAAACCAGCTACATCACATAGCCTCTTAGTTCTTTTATTATTGCATATTAAGTCTCACAAAGGGAGGATCAAGGACTAAAATAAAACATACAGGGGCAGGAGCCTGGGGGAACAGGGACAGCCAGATAAGGATGCAATGAGAGTTATCACTGTGATTCTGGGTGTGCTAGCCTTCAGGCCCCCATAGGAGAAGGAAGTGTCGGTAGGTAGGAGGGGCCAACAACAGTTCTTTGGAGAGGTACACCCAGCTTTGATGAATTCTCTTAATCCCTTTGAGTCAGTGGGTCCCAGTCATTTTTATACCATAGCATATCACTTTCTGATGCAGCTGAAGAATATGAGTTTTATAGTAATGTTCTCTGCAAGCTGAGTTAGGGTGGTTTCCCATCTCTGATGTCATAGGCAGAAAGAAAAGATGCTGAGTATTGGCTGTTGTTGGGGAACCAACTGAAACAAATATGAATCACAAGCATGGGTCATAAAAGTTTCCAAAAAAGAGTAGGACAAAGAGGTCCTAGGTAGGAAGAAATGTACAAAGTAGACCAATGTACATTTGTGCCAATGTACAATGACCAATGTACAAAGTAGAGGCAGCCTGCTGGCAAGTGGATCTTAAAGGCCTTACAGGACTTTAGAGTTCGGGAGTTTTCATCTCTTTGTAACTACTTTACATTCCAGTCAAATTGGACTACAAGTTTTTTAAAAATTTATTTGATATAGCTCCTTCTTTGAAAAATATTTTATTTTCCCTCAATTACATGTAAAAATAATTTTTAACATTTTAAAAAAAATTTGAGTTTCAAGTTCTCTCCCTCCTCTCACTTCCCTCCTCCCTGAGATGGTAAGTAATTTGATGTAGGTTATACATGTGCAATGACACAAAACATATTTCCATGTTAGTTATGTTGTGAAAGAAAACACAGATTCCACCACCCCTGGAAAAAAAAACCCACCATGAAAAAAATAAAGTGAGAAATAGTATGCTTCAATCTGCATGCAAATTTCCTAAGTTCTTTCTCTGGAGGTGAATAGTATTTTTCATCATGAGGAATTGTCTTAGATCATTGTATTGCTGAGACTAGCTAAATTATTCAAAACTGATCATCATACCATATTGCTGTTACTGTGTGCAATGTTCTCCTAGTTCTGCTCACTTCATTTTGCATCAATTCATGTAAGTTTTCCCAGTTATTTTTCTGAAGTTATCCTGCTCATCATTTTTTATAGAACAATAGTATGGACTACTAGTTATTCCTTGAACTTGACATTCCATTTCTCCGCCTCCAAAACTTTGTACAAGCTTTCCCCATGCCCATAATGCACCCTGTCCTCATCTCAACTTCAGAATCTTTGTCTTTCCTTCAAGGCTTAAATCAAGGCTTAAATGAGATTCTCTCATTCCCCCAGTGATTAGAGCTCTCAAATATCCTTTTATCCATATAGTGGCAGGGTGGGGGACACTGTATTCTATCTTTCTTGACATGAATAAAGCTACCTTAGAATAAACCTCCACTTCAGTGTAAATGAACAGTTACATCTAACCCCTTCGTTTTTCCTTCCTTTACTCCAGAACTTGGACAATGCTAACCAAAAACCAAACAGAATCTGATATTTTTCAGACCACTGAGGACAATGACAAATTAGTGTATTAGAAAGTCTCTGTCCCCACTCTTGAAACCCAAAAAATTCACTCTAAGGTCAGTGGTTGATCAGTCATGAACCCAGCATGA